GCCAAATTTGATTCCTCCGGAATTCCGGGAATTGCCTGGATTCCACCAGATTCCAGCAGGAATTGCCTGGATTCCACCAGATTCCAGCAGGAATCAGTGGAGGACAATAAAGACCTCCATATTGAGACTAAAGTTAGAGTTCTAATAGGAAACCTTGATGCAATCTTGACATTTTTGACCACCTTCTCATTTATCTCAGCCATCTGCTTCTTGATTTCCTCCATTATTGGCACATATTGAAGGTATACATCACAGCATTCCAAATAAACTTTGTAGCACTGTTTGTTGTATAAGCAGGCAAGTTATTCCCTCTGCTGTAGTGCCGCCCCGAGAATCCCAAATTTTATGACATCCAAAAAAGCTAGAATAGGCTGGTTTGAAAGACACTGATCAAGGATATCTATCATCACTGTAATCTCAGTCAAAAATTGACAGGAGCCCATACCTTGAGCTTGCCGGTGTAGAAATGAATAAAAGTGTGGAATTTACAGAAGACGACAAAATGTATTTCTGACCTCAGGAATATTTATTTGGACTTTGTAGGATACAGATGCTAACATATATTTCCCAGAGGATAGGTCATCATCACCATTCCTTCATGCTGATTCTTTCTGAAGATTAGCAGAAAACAAGGTACCAAAGCTGCAAACAAGACCTTTTCTTATTTTAAATTTGACTGGTGAGATGACTTTAATGACATAAAGCCATCCTGGAACATCTGAACATTCTACAATCTTGTTGAGAATTGACTGTTCAAGGCATCAGTCATTGCAAACTTCCTGATATGGTATGTGTGCCAGTCAAGGAGTGGCATGTGATTGCTTTACTTTGTCATCGAATTCATGACTTGCTTATTTTGGGAGGTGGGAATTTTCTTTTTGGTGAATTTGAAAGCTACAGAACATAGGGTATATAGCAGGGCATCAGTGGGGAAGGAGTTACGAAAGTTGGTAGGGGATCACAGGACTACAATATAATTTCTACATCGCTCTTCATTGCATGCTCTACAAACATTGCGTTGGCGAGCTCTCGAGTTCCAACCATGCAACATAACCCATGTATGTCACTGCCGGTTGCTGCAAGTGCAGCCAAACTGTATTCAAATGTAAGTAACAAAACAAAAATACATGCAGCTGACATACCTACTAGTATATATGCCAGGATTGCGTCCTCGAATGACAATGTAGTAGGCATCCATGTTGAGTCCCTCAAGTGCAGCTGTGATGGAGCTCAAACAAGCAGCAGAGCCATGGGAGGAAGGGGTGGCTGGAGGGTCAACAGATAAAGAGCTAGGTGAAGAAGGGGTGAGTGCTGAGCCATTATCACGAGCAGCTGGACGGACAGGGGTTGAAGGTGGGCTTGTCATGGCAGGGGCATGCCTAGAACATGTTGGGCTTGTGCAGGTTATAGTCTGGGAAGCAGGCAGAGTGGAGATACTGGACGAACCACGCAATGGCCAAGCCAGGGTGGATGAACCTCTGTGCGATGGCATGCTAATTGGACCAAGTGGTGGAATGGTGTTTAAGGACCGTGGTGGGGTGGAAGGCTCTAAATTGCTGCAACGGCGACGAGGCACACCAGCAGAGGGTGGTCCAATTGCCTTGGAAGCAATGGCAATGTCCCATGCGGTGAGAGCATCTTGCAAACTGGGGAAGCCCTCATAGCAAGCTCTTGAGAAGTATTTTACCTGAATCTCTGTAGCACTCCTATTTTGTTAGTACAATACAAGACAGCCAAGTTGAAACAACACACCATGATGTGAACATTCCCGTTGAGGAGCCCCAATAAACATTGTATGCCTTTTTCTTGGATTTGGCACCTGGGAGTGCAAGAGGTGGATGAACTGATCTTCGTCGTCAGAGGAATCATGAGGGGAATCATCTACAAGTTGGTTAGATAGACGAGTACACAATGAAAGGGTAAGCTTACCAGCTGGAATGGCATAGGATGGACCCCTTTGGGTCTGGTCGCTGAAGGGGATGCATGTCAAAAGGGGGTTGAGTTCGAGTAGGAGAACAACTACCTGGATGAGAAACACATACTCTGTTGGACTGCATAAGATGGTGTATGTGGGGGAAAGGAAGGATGGTTGAGTTTCTGAGTTTTAAAATTGGTGCACAAACACCCAAATGCTGACAGTCACTAGTCACTGTTGTCACCACCTTGTGTGATTGCAACATTATACCATACTTTCATAATAGAAGCATGGTATGGGTTGAAAGAAATTTAGAAAGTATCTGAAGGGTATGATTTCTTAGAAATATATAATTTCAAAGTGAGGACTCAATACTGAAGAGAGAGTATTGAAATCATATTATAATACTAAACAGTATATTAAATAAATACTGAAGAGAGAGTATTAAAATCATATTATAATACTGAATAGTATATTAAATAAATACTAAAGAAAGAGTACTGAAAGCATATCTTAAAACTAAACAGAATCAGCATACCAACTTGATACCAGTCCCTCAATAATATTGATGATATCTAAGATGATTACTATGAAAGTACAGTGCAATAACAATAAGAGTAATCAAAAAGTGATAGAGTGGTTAATAAACAAGTATCATTCAAGTATGGTAATATTAATAATAGAACACTTGGAGTACTAAAAAAGTATGAAATGAGATGATGATGGTACTAAAATAATATGAGAAAAGTATTATATAGGGGTACTAGGATCTGAAGATGAGATATGACAGCTGTTTTCATAATGATAGGCCAAACCAAATGGTACCCTTACCCTTACCCATGCAGGTCACCAAACCCATAACAATGCCTATGTGGACCCATGGATGTAGAAAGATATCATCTCCATACACCAGAAATCATCAACGTCACATTGAAAAATGATGACACAAAACTTAGATGCGAACTTTCAAGAATATGTCAAACTCTCTTTCACTTTCTTAGACTCTCAATGGACTTCATGTAAAGTTAAAGCAATCCATCACCCCTTCCTTTCCTCTTCATTCTTCTCTTATAAGCAATCTCTAGTGTTTTCTATCCCCTTCAGGGGATAGTTTTCCAGGATTCATGGATTTGCAGATTCTTAGACTTTCTACATCCATAGATTTACAGATCCTCAGACCCTGGTATCTCTGCATCTAATCATCCATTAATCATGGTATCTCTACATTCAACTAGAAATGTATGAAACTTTCAAATATCAAAGATCTTTACATCTCTATCTCCACAGATCTATGTATCCTCCCATGGATTCTAATATCTCTATATCAATAGATCTATGGCTTGGATGTAGAGATACCAGGGTATGATGACCTGTAGATCCCTAGATGTAGAGATATGAAAATCCATAAATCTGCTGATTTAAGATCCATGGATCCATGGATTCTACAGCACTTTACCCTCCCCAGGTTATTCCATATGGACTCCATGGAAGGGGGGTGGATTCCATAAAATGGGGGATGGATTCCATCCTTTTCCAGATGGAATCCATACTTTGGTTGATGGATTCCATACTTTTTCCACATGGAATCCATACTTTTTTCACATGGATTCCATGTTTTTCTTAGGTGGATTCATACAATTTTCAGGGGAATCCATGGTAAGTTCAAACTTAAAAAGCATTCTTACTGAATAAAGAAAATTAAATGTATTAAATATAATTACATAATATCATATTACATTTAATACTAAAGGGAGGGGGAGGGAGGTGGAGAGTGGAGGGGGAGGGAGTGGTGAAGTGTCATAGAGTGTGATGGAGGGGGCAGTGATAGAAGGGGGAAGGGAGTGTGGAGAAGGAAGGGAGTGATGGAGGGGGAAGGGGTGGAGAGTGCAAGGGGAGAGGGAGTGGGGATGGAGAGACATGGAGCTCACTCACCTGAGCTCATCATTGCCAGTGTCTATTCACGCAAGCAAGCATCTTCGTTTGTGGGGTCGTTTTCGTGGGCGCCCACAGTTGGTAATGTTGGTGGGCACTCATATCGGAACATGTTGTTTGGGTGCTGGGTGCTGTTCATGGGGTTGGCATGGGTTGTGTTTGATGGGCATGGGTTCGTGGGTGCTTGTCTTCGTTGACAGTGGTCCTTGCTCGTGGGCGCTCATTGACGTTGTTGGGCACTTTTCTTGGTCAGTGGGCAGTTGTGGTGGTGGGCACTCATTGATGTTGGCATGGTGTGGTGGTAGGTCCTCATGGCCGAACAGAAATGATGAGTGATGATGGATGTCATCGCTCATCATCTCATTGCCACGTCGCGGGTTGGTGTCAAAATGGAGGATGGGTGGGTGGTTGTGCCCACTCACCTGGGCTGGGCCCTCGTCACCCTCGTCCTCCACATCGTCATTGTCGCCTCCCATCTGTGTGACGTGGCAGGGTGGTTGTTGATGATGTTGTGTGTCATCGGGCGTCATCAGCATTGTCATCGTCGATGGTGTGGGCGGTCGTGGCTTGAGATGCTGGGGGGTGAATGGTGATGGTGGTGGTAGAAGGAAGAAACAATGTGGCAATGTTTCAGCAACAGCTGTCATGTTTGAGATGCCACGTGACAAATGATGCTATATAGATACTTTTAGTTTATCATATAACAAAGCCTGTGTGGCTCAGGTGATTACAGCACTGCTTCCACCCATGACATTGTGGGTTCAATTCTCTCAGATGCAAATTTTATTTTTTACTTAAATATAGTAAGGACACTATAAATACTATATCTATATGTATTCTAATGGTATAATGGTCATTAATTCCTTCCATGGAATCCATATTGACTGCTCCATGGAATAAATGTGGATATGCCTGCATTCCATATGGAATTAATCATTCCATGACCATTCCAGGATCATTTCATATGGAATCTATCATGTCTATGGAATCAGAAATTGGCTGGGTCCTTAGCCAACATTGATATGGATTCCACATGGAATAACCCAGGGAAGGTAAAGACCTCAGATTCTAGTATCTCTACATCAACTGATCCATGGAACCACAGACTCATATTTCTACATCTGCAGATGCACAGATTCTTGTATCTCTAAATCTACAGATCCACAGATCCATGGATCCTCATATCCTCATATCTCCTGACCCAGAAATCTGTCCTGGCAAATGTAAACTATGAAATGAGATGATGATGCTACTAAAAATATGGAAAGTATTATATAGGGGTACTAGGATCTTTGAGATATGATAGCTGGATAGGCCTTTGAAGGCCTATCATTATGAAAACAGCTGGAATATCTGGGGATCTGCAGATCTGCAGGATCTGTGATACAGATTGGAAGGGAATGCCCAGAGGCCATAGTCAAACAGTGGTATATAGCTAGATTTGGATATCTTACATAATTAATTGGTCTTTTGTCTTGAACCACCATCTTGTCAGCAGTATTGCCATCCTCTTGCACTACATGTAGTGCTTTGTATATCTGTACTTCCTACAGTATGCATAATCATGTTGGGCCAGCTGAGTATCTTGTAACTGCTCATTGCTCACTTATGGGTGTTGATCCCAGATCCACCCATTCTTGCCTCCTCCTTCCCTCTTGGCTTCAGCTATGCAAAGTATATTAAATAAATACTAAAGAAAGAGTACTGAAAGCATACTTTAAAACTAAACAGAATCAGCATACCAACTGGATACCAGTCCCTCAATAATATTGATGGTATCTAAGATGATTACTATGAAAGTACAGTGCAATAACAATAAGAGTAATCAAAAAGTATTAGAGTGGTTAATAAACAAATATCATTAAAGTATAGTAATATTAATAATAGAACACTTGGAGTACTAAAAAAGTATGAAATGAGATGATGATGGTACTAAAATAATATGAGAAAAGTATTATATAGGGGTACTAGGATCTGAAGATGAGATATGACAACTGTTTTCATAATGATAGGCCAACCAGAGATCCATCAGGGTGAAGGATGAGGATGACCAGAAGTGCTGGCAAACACCAATGCTTGATTTGAGCATGGAGGGTACAACCACAGGTAATATGCTAACCCTCACTATAGGTATACCAACCTGCACTATATCTGTCAAATCCAACCTGTACACCTACTAGTGATGGGCAGGGGTAACCCTGGGGTGTCTTCATCATGACCTATACCCTTACCCTTACCCAACCCCAACCCTTGGTGAGGGTTGGGGTTTTGGAAGGGTAAGGGTTGGGGTAGATGGGGGGTTTGAGGGGTAAGAAACCCTCTGGGGGTCAGCATCAAGGGTTGTTGGCTTTTTGTTTGTAGATTAAAATTCTTACAAAAAGGAATTTTTTTGCAAGCTCACAATGAAGAAAACTACCATTATTTGATGAACATGAGGATGTAGAGTGTCATTATATATATATACAATTCCATGTTTATAATACCAGAACACTGGTGATAATCTCCTAAACTAATTCTTTACTATCCTGTTACCCAAAATTTGCCCAAAATATATCATCCAAATATTTCATGAGGCAAAATTTGAGTTAAAATTTACCTGTTAGCTACCCTTGACTTACCCTCCTACAAACCCCAACCCTTGTGAAGGGTTGGGGTTTTTGTGAGGGTCAGAAAATCCTGACCTCTACCCTTACCCTCCTGACCCCTACCCCTGACCCTTAGAGGGTTGACAAACCCTTGCACATCACTAACACCTACCAAATGATACCCTTACCCTTACCTTTCATCTTGGTCTGTCCATTCGACAGTTTCATGACATATCAGTCAAAGTGTCTAGGAATGTAGACATATGAAAATTCAAGTATCCAAGGATCCATGGATGTAGAGATACAAGGATCTGTCAATGCATAAATATAGTGATATGAAGATCCAAACATCCAAGAATGTAGAGATATGAAGCTCCACAGGTCTAGGGATCTGAAAATCCAGGGATCTGTGGACCCATGGATGTAGAGATACTGGGATCTGAGGATGCAGGGATACATAGATTTAAATATGAAGATCTGAGGATCCATAGATCTGTAGATATGAAAATCTGGGGATCCACAGCTGTGTTTCCACATTAAAAAAATTGACAATAACATTCTTATATCTGTAAGCATATGCAGAGTACAAGCAAAGTGGGACTGAGTAAGGAAGGCATGGGGAAAAAAAACAAAGCATCATTCTCACAGATCTGCTTTCAAGCCTTCCTGTCAGTTTTAGCCCTTCAACAGGCCAATCTAAGGATCTGTAAATCTAGAGATTGATGCCTTTACATACCCCCAGCATTGCTTGCTTGGATTTACTTGCCCATCAAATGCCCCAACTTGAGTTGTTGAAGCTCATCCCCATGCACCTTGAAGAATGCAGTGAACCCTTTGCTGGTGTACAAGAAATCTGTGCTGAGAACAGAGAGGTTCTGGAGGGCGGGTATAGCCCATATTGAAAGGACAGAAAATGTGGCATTGTCCAGCATCACTTTCAAAAAAGAGAGCAGTGCAGGGAGGAGGTGTAGGGTATCATTGGTAAGGGACAGGTGGTGCTGGTTAACCCCAAGCTCAACTCAGTAAGCATATGTGAGATAGGGCCCGGTCTGGCAGATAGGCTGAGTTCAAGGAACTCCAAGCCTGCTGTGGTGTGCTCCAGTTGTCAGCCAATGACAGCTGTGTAAAATTGGATTCTGTGTTCATGCACATGGTTCTTCCAGCTCAGTCGATGGAGGGTTGATGGGAAGAGGGAGAGCAGTGCAAGTTTCCTTGCTAATTTGGCATGAAAGATCCATATGGAGTGGTACAGCAGCTAAGTCATGCCCCCTTCGTCCCCATACTTACCTGATGCATATCATAGATGATGCATTGTCATTGGATACAGAATTCAGGTGCAGGTGCCACGTCGTGTACTGCACAGTATGCAACATGGCAACCAGACGGCGGATGGTGACAGATCACCATCTGCCATCCTTGCCTATTGGGATAAATGAGGCCCAGGTGAGCAAGCCCCCTCCCCTTCACGTTTTTTCACTGACACAAAGTCTAGGTGATGTGGCAACCTGACAACAGATGAAATCCATTGTTGTTCGTTGCTGTGTTTATTATATAGGTTGCTGTTCGCTTTTTTTGCATGTGCCCCATCCCCATCTGAATGACGAATGACGCAACAGGTGCATCCAGTACTTTACACTCCCACTGTTTGTCCAACGGAATCCGACGGACTTTCAACAGACCCTGCCATTTCTGATGGACTCAGTGGACAGTCTGTCAGAAGACCGTCGGATTCCATTGGACATGACTGGATTCTGCTGCTAGTCCAGGCAAAGTCCAATGAAAGTCTGCTCAAGTCATTTAGAAGCAAGAAATGGTTGGACTGGCCGGAATTCTGTGTCTGTCGGATGTCCACTGGACTTCCATTGGATTTCCAATGGACAGAGGCAGAAACCAGTCAGTCATAACTGCTAAGTTCTCAGTCTGCTGGACTTCCACTGGACTTCCAATGGTCTTCTAAGCAAAAAATGTGCAACTTCCAACAGACTTTAAGTAGTGTTTGAAAGTCCGGTTCAGTCCAGTTTTTTGATGCCCAGGGGCATTAACCATAACCGTAACCAGTCTGCCTTTTCCCCAGAAGTCAAAAGACCAGACCGGACCACAAAAAACCATGGTCTGCAGTCTTTTTGCGGTCTATAGACTGGTTTTGGTCTGCATCGGTTTTAACCAGTTTATGACCGGTCTTTAGGCTAATATTTTAAAATTATGAATTGGTAAATTTATTAACATCTCTATTAGCTTCAAAACGAGCCCAAGAACGTCAAATTCCGTTAGGAATTGGTGCTTCTATAAAATAAGTCTGGTACATCTATTATTCCCAAAAGTAATTTACATTTTAATTCATATCTCTCTCGTTTTTTTACCAAATCGTACGTTCTTGGGTGCGTTTTAAAGGGTATTTAAGGGGCTACAAAAGACCGATTCACATTAACCGGTTTTTTTGCGGTCTTTACATCTCAAAAATTAAAGACCGTAACTGCAGGTCCGGTCTTTTGCGGTCTTGGTCCGGTCTGGTTACAGTCTTTTTCCAGTCACGTGACCGGACTTCCAAACACTAACTTTAAGTGTTCAGTCTGCAATTCTTATAAGTAAATCTAAACATCAGGCCCTGGTCAGACCTTATGCTGAATTCCTTAAGACATTGAGGTTTCAAAAAACAAAGTATATTTAATAACTACATAAATTTATTTTACTACATTCTATGTTACAGAGAAGGGGGAGGGAGTGGGGAGGGGGTGGTGATCAGAAAGGGAGGGGGAGGGACAAAAAATGAGGGGGGAGGGACAGAAAGGGAGGGGGAGGGAATGGTAAGCAGCAAGGGAGGAGGAGGGAGTGGGGAGGGAGTGGTGAGCAGCAAGGGAGGAGGAGGGAGTAAGGGAGGGGAGAGGGAGTGGTAAGCAGCAAGGGAGGGGGAGGGAGTAAGGGAGGGGGGAGGGAGTGGTGAATAATGGTGAGGGGAGGGAGTGGTGAGTAATGGAGGGGGGAGGGGATGGTGGGCATTGACTGATAGAAGGGGAGGGAATGGTGATGCTGGGCCCTCATCCCTGTTCGCATGTGGTCGTTGGTGTGCATCATTGACGTGTCATTGCATCATGTCATGTTGCCGTCCTAGTGTCGTGTGTTTTGTCATCATCCTCATGTGTCGTGTTGTCGTCCTCGTGTGTCGTGTCATTGTCATTGTCATGTTGTTGTCGTTGTCATTGTCGTATCGTGGGTGGTGCTGGGTTGCTGTTGCCATTCGTGGGGTGTTGGTGGGCTGTTGTAGCCATTTATGGGTGCTGGTGGGCGTCGTGGGTAGTGTTTAAAGGTTCAGTTCAGTCCGGTTTTTTGCCCCCAAAACGCGCAACCGTGGACTGCAACCAGTCCAGGACCGACCCAGATATTGAGGGAACCGAACCGAACCACCTAGGACCGGTCTTTTGCAGTCCATAATACCAGTTCAGACCGATCCAGACCGGTTTTTTTGCATATAATTTATTATATCAATATAAACCATTTGTATTGCAACCATTATTACTCTGAAAAATAAACGGGTTATATAAAATAGTAAAGCATATAAATACCCATCATTCTACCAATTTTCAAGAGATTTAATGAAGATTTGACATAGCTATGACTGAAACTGAATTACATCTCCTAGAGACTTGGGTAAAATATGGATTTGGTTATATCTTTCTCAATTCTTAACCGTTTTTGATGAAACAAAAACCCAATAAAAGGCAATAAATGTGGTTACAAGG